CGGAGTTGATATAGTAAGTGCATACCCATAGGAATCCACACATATAATATCAACCGAGGCGGTGCTGGTTGAGTGCCGGGTGGGTCTAATGAATGACTTTATGCTTTAGAGACGTGTGCATGCGCACACCCGGTGTGGGGCAGCCTAAGCGTCCGGCTACCTACCAATTATCATCCTGCTAACGACATCATAGACCCAACAAATGCTAAATGTGTTATCATATATAAGGTATAGACATGCCCACTGCAGTTATGTTCATACATTTAATCTCTTCATTGTACGTTAAATATTTGTAGGAACCAGAATACCTTCTCAATGGCCAAAAGCAACTTGCTTTTACTATCACAATATGACATATGAAAAACATTAAATTATGTTGTTTTGACTGAACTGAGTAATTATTTTATGAACACAGTCAAACGGTTTGAGAAGTAAAGCGTTGGCTAAAGGTCGTAAGTATTTGCCGGTTTGATGTGTACACTAAATTATGTTAAATATTTGCGAAACTCTTGACTGCTCACAAGGACGTAAACATGTGCTATACTTATGCATTTCTATGGGAGTCTTACACGCGATTAAATGACGTGACGAGCAATTAACGCGCGTTTGCAGTAGAGAATATGGGCTATGTATATGGGTTTGTGGGTCTAATAACTGCCGATGCAGCTAGGGCCAACAGATTTTCCGAAACACACAAAAGATATTAAATTTTTGGTCACCCATATCATGATCGGTAATTGCGAAAGTTGCTTAACTTAACAACTGCATTATCGAGCTATTTAATTTCTCAAGGAGATTTAACTTATTAGAATCCTTAAATTATTATCACTGGGTCGACATACAGTGGGTAAGCATTATTTATATTCATAACATCACGTATGTAATTGTACAAAAAAATCTAATTAAATTACCTGAGGTTTTACAATGTCATTAACGCTTCATCATAATGTTTGCCACATCATCTCATCAACGCTCTCATTTTTCTCAAAATTAAACGCCCTTTAATTAGGTAAGAGTTTAATAGCACAATAAATATTTAAAAATGCTTTTATACTCATTAAATAAATATGAACTACGTGGCCGAGTGGTTTGTACGCCGGGTTTCATGGTGTCGCCTACTCGAGGTCCTGGGTTCGAATCCCGGTAGGGGCAGAAGGTTTGTGTGATCAATACGGTCATTAGTACTCCAGTCATGGATTGTTTAATATGTATTTGTATATAAATATTATTATATATGTACAGTATATGTATTTCTATCCGTTACCCTAGTACCCCATAACACAAGCCTTACAGTGCCTTACTTTGGGGCTAGGTTAATTGGTGTGAATTTGGAAATAATAAAAAATGTTGTCCTATCAGCAATAAATTGTAAATTTTTTTTTGCCGCGGCTTGCAAGGGAACAACTTACCAATGAAAAATATGAATACCTTTAAACAGAAACTCAATTTTTCTTGATGGTTTCTGAGGAATTTTCAAACATTTTCTTTCACGCAACAACAAAAATAATCAGCCAAATCGGTTGATTATTCTCAGTGATAGAACACATGTAATACATTTTTTTATATAATAGTAAGATTTAAATAATTAAATAATTAATTGTAAGATTTAAGGAATTAATTTTCAAAACCTACCTTTTTATTTGTTTCGTCCTAGCCTAGGGTGTGACATACTCGTGGATAACCCTAGAGTCGCCTCGAGGGTAGTGACATAACCCATTACTGACTAAAATACCCGTAGGGTGGCGCCTATGGCCATAAGGACCTTACAGGCTTCATGTGACGCTATAATCCCCAGAAAAATTGTTGATGCAGATCCAAGTTAATATATAAACTTCCCCATCGGGAACAGGGATGGTATATTACTTTGAATAACACTTATTTTCTCGCTTAAGTGGACGATCTATTGGCGGGCCATCCGTGTCTGCTTGTTGATCTATGGATCAAGCCCAGTCCCTAGACCGAAAAACATGGCGTCATCTTTTGTCGAAAACTCAGATTCACTTTTTAATTACAGTGTATGTTTAGTAATTAAAAATACTCTCGCAATCTATTATACAAAGAAAATCAAGTCTCCTCATAACATGTTGTCATAATTATGATTTTTTTTAGATCATATACAAATAATATGAAATATTTGTGTAAAAACTACGCGGTTCTGAGGTAAACTTACTTACGAAATGTTTATATTGTAAATTAGGTACCGTATGGTTTTACCCATTTTGGCTGGTTTTTACGTATTGGTTTATGTTTTAAAACATTTACCTATGACGTTCGAACATTTTTTCCCTATTATTTTGTTTTATTTTTTGTACAAGTGATAAGGAACTTTGTTCCAAAAAATGGACCCGTAGGTATTATCAGGATAATTTCAAAACCAACTTTTTTCTTTTGATGTGTACTTACTTGAATATTTAAGTCTTTTATTGCTAGGCTTTTATTATGTTCCGAAAGAATTTGTTTTTAAAGGGTTTTAATAATAGGGAAGTGAAGCCTGATGATAGTTCATCAGTTATAATCTTTAAATAATTAATAAAATAGGTAGAAACTTATCTTATAATACCTATCTTATGTAGTGAAATAATTAACAAATATTATGCAAGGGTTTTTAATTTTAATTAAAAAACTAAGCCCTGCCAGACGTAAAAACAAACTGGCTCCTTCCATACAAAATTTGACGATGGCGATACGATTACGGATTTGTCAAAGTTCGTGCTTGGGGTTTGTGAAAGTAGCTGATGTTGCCCTTCATCAATACTCACTTTTCTTTATATTTAAATCAAGTGCCATTTGTAATTCAATGAACAGAAGCAAACATAATAATCCAAGCTTAGACTTCGTTTATTAAAAAGAAGGCCTAAGAGTCTGATTTTATTCGACTAGTAAGTTTCCAAATAATTAGAGAAGTGAATTATACTGCCCCTAAGGCTACCAGCTCAAATAGCTAATTACCTAAATAGTTTTTGAAATTTTGATAGATAACTTTTCATAGAAAGTTTATAAGTCCGAGTACAAGAACTATAGTTTACCTAACAGTGAAGCGAGGAAACTAGTAGTGTCTCTATAAAAAGGCATATAATTAGATGCTTTTCATACAATAGAAAAACAACAAATATGACAATAACACTTTAATTGCATTAGGAGATAAAATCATTCTTAAAATTAAGTTTGACTTTATTATTACAACTTATTCGAATACCTTTTCGACATATAATATTTTAAACTAACATAAATGTATCACAGCCTCTTTTTTATGTAAAACTATATTTATATGCCCTATAGCGTCAATGCTGGGATGATTTTCTCAACTTAAAACTGAATAGAACTTCAGTCTCTCCTTTTCATTCTGTATACAGAATGACAAGGATACATCTCTGCCAAATTAAATTTTATGCTTAAAGAATCATACCAGAATCGACACCATTATCAGATGCAAAAAATTTGAATGATTTAACATAATTGTAAGTAATTTAACATATATGGGGGAATGGCGTTCACTTATGGAAAATTGGAAAACATGGTGTATTTTTCCCCTCGCGCTTCACACGACGTGGCGTGTTAGAGAGGTGAGCGCCATTACCCATACCCTACATGAAAAGTAATTAAAGTCAGTTACTTAAAATTAAGTCAACGTATAAATCCTCATTAGGTAGTACTTAACTATTTTTCACAATATTCGACCAATGAATAACAATGAACAAACATAATAAATTCTAATACTATATCAAATACAAAAGTAACTTTGTCTCTCTTATAATCCTAAAAAGTCTTTATAAACGAGAAAATGTAAGAGACATTTTCTCGTTTATAACATTGAACTATTATAGTTGGATGAATTTTGATGACTATCAAAGAGCTGAGTGGTTTCTTAAATAGAGTCACCGACTTTTCGTAGAACCTGTCCGACGTAGTCGCGGGCATCCTCAAACCAAAAATATTTATATAAACCAACCGAATTGAGAACCTCCTCCTTTTTAAAGTCGGTAACAATACAAGTTATCACGACGACAAATATACTCTTCATTACAGTTATTCAAGCCAAGGCCATTTAACTTCAAATGAGCCTGGGTTGAATAACTGTTATAAAGAGTTTAAGAGAGAGACTGTAAGAGAATTTTGTACAAGCCGGTCACCCCAATCACACCATTTGAAATACATAGATGCAGTATATAAGAATTCATCAAACTATACATTTAGTTACTAATATTATAAATCCTAAAGTATTTTTCTGTTACCCTTTCCTGGTTAAAACGCTAAACCAATCTTATATAATTTCGACAGAAGTTTAATTGGGACCCTTTGGCTGGAAAACACCTGAAGAATGCGGTAGAATTATGGGGTAGAAATGTTTGTTTAAAACTTATATTCTACACAGCTAGATAAAGTCGCAGACATTATCTAACCTAGTGCCATAAAAACTACACCTCGCCATATTACATGCTGGGAGGTAAATAGGTTCTAAGAGCGAAAATTGTATGGTTAATACAATGATTTAATATTGACAATTCAATTTAACACTAAGGAGATGTTTAATTTACAAATCTTAAATGTATAAGTAACTTTATCTATTTTGAGTTACACAATAGTTAGTATAATAATAATCTCGCAAAAATGGCGAATCTAGATCTGGCAAACGCGAAAAGTAAATTACTTACGATTATATATCATTTTGAAATAAAAATAAATTATTGTCACTTACAACGTCACTATATATTTTATGAACATTTTATAAATGTTATGTCGGACAGTTCATTTGATGTTTTGAAATGATTGTTTTACTGTTCTCTGCTGTTTTTTAATGATACAAATAATATCAATCAGTTCATTCGATTTTAGACTTGACGGAGTTACAAATCCAGTATTTTTATTTGTACAAGTCATTTTTAAGATTCTTCATTGTTTCGTTTTACATATTTTTATTGACATTACAAAGACTATGAAATATATATATTTTTGCCATATTATTATTAAGTGGCTACTAAAAGTGATATTTTATAAAAAATAATAAGTGTTCTAGTCAACCGAGAGAAAAATCGCAAATTGCATGCACTGAATCATGATAATATTAAAAGTTTTAACTCATTCTCATAATAAAGAGACCATCAACTTGATCTATTTAACATGCACATATGTATGCACAGGTATCTATGATAAGATATATTTAAATGATTTTCTAAAAATTTAAGTGTTAGATATAATTTTAATTTTTTAGAGATACAAATAATTTCAAGCCTAATAGTGAGGCTGTGTTGGCAAGTATTTGCTATTTTCAGCAGCTTATAAAATAATAAAAGGTAGCTAACTTCATAGCTTTTGAATACTTTCTTTCCAGTATCTAGCCCATATTAAATCATACACAATAAACTGACCAAAATAATAAAATAAATGCTCAATCAAAACGTAAAACATTAAAACCGACATTTTGAATCCATCGAAGAATTTGAAGACAGGATATATGTATTCCCCTCTGACATAGCTTTCGACGCACCTGTTGACAAATAAAATAATGCAATAATTATAATAATAGCCTGTTAAAGAAAAAAACCCGGTCAAACCTCGCGCATGAAGGTTTCTGTACTATTAGATATTACTAGCTGTCCTAGCGAACTTCGCACCGCTATAAAAATAAGGGTTGGTGATAGAAGGGCGATGAAATATTGATGTTGTCCAATTCTCAGATCTACTGAATACACTTATAAAATTTCACGAAAATCGGTCTAGCCGTTACGGAGTAGTTCAATGACGCACACCGTGACACGAGAATTTTATATATTAGATAATATCGAGCAAATAAATAGGGTAAAACTGGGGAAAAGGGTAAAGATAAACAAAAATCCAGGTTGCAGAATATATATTTAATAGCTTATTAACTAATACATATTTCCAAATAACAAAATAAAAAATTAGGGAGAAAAGGACGAGTGTGGGCGCGGAAGTGTAGTGGGCGTGGGTCGTCGGCGATCTTCAAGGTATAGCCTGAGCCTGAGGTCTGAAGGCGGAAGGCACTCTAGTAGTAGACGTGCGGCGCAGGTAGGCACTACTGGTATGAGGGCAGCGCTGCTGTGTATGCTTCGCAGATGACCTTTACGGCATCACCGGGTTTGGCATCGGCGCGAATGTGTAGGTGAGTGCAGTAGGCGCTGGCGCTGCATTTAGGCTGTGGCGCTGCAGGCCTGCCGTGGCGCTGCAGGTAGCCGGTGGTGCTGCATATTTTTTTTGATGATTGTGTATGCTGTCGCTGATGACCTATACAGCGTCACCGGGTTTGGGGACGGTGAGATCCTAAGGGGACCTCAAGCCGAGAATTGGCAAGTGCCTCTAGAGGTATTCCAGGTGGATGGCATCTCCCCATGGCAGGAGTTTCCTCTCCGTCTGTACCTTCTAGCCCACTCGAACCTGAGGGGGTCGGCTCAACTAGAATTAAAATTAAATTTAGATTGTATTTTACATTACACAACTTGTATTTATACTGTATGACACAGCAATCAAAATGTAAGTGAACATTTATTATTTCTCTGATAAAGATTTAATGGCGGTGTGGATTCTGGTATGGTTTTCTAGACCTGAACTTGGTTTGGCAGCGGTGTATCCTTGTCATTCTCTATACAGACTGAAAAGGGGGGACTGATATTGGATTTGGTTTTGGGTTGGGAGAGTAGTGCCAAAATCGACAACAGTGTTTGGGTCATCATATGCACGTGTCCTGCCGTTATGTTTATAGTTTGTTATAATAATGTACTCTGGTACTGTACTGTGTACTGTACTATTTTAATGTACTATTTTTTCTATTTTTGTAACATAGTATCCATGTGTGGTTATGAGTAGTCATGCTCTCTTAAAAATCTCTTCGGTGGTATCGTATGAGGCGGGTGGTTGCGTTCCCTAAAAAATGGTTGAGCGAAGCGATGGCTGGTTCATGCGTCATGCTCGTGAACGGGTGCTGCCAGCGGAGATGAGTCTGCTCTTGCTTCATTGGATACTATTAATCGGTGTACTAAAATTTAATCGTGCATTTTTTTTGTCTAAACAGCAGGACACGGCATTCCTAAACTTTATTAAACCAGTTTTTTATATAGTCATAATTTTTATATTATTTGCATTTGTAATGGAAAGTGACTTAATGAGTTACCTCATTTTGAAGTCATTTTTCAATTTGACGACTCTGTTTATAATACAGGGAGAAAAAAACAGCCCTTGCTGAGTTTCTTGCCGGTTCTTCTCAGTACAAGGTCTCCCGCCGTAGATATGCGAACCGATGGCGTAGATTTTCGACATTCACAAGTGCTTGTAACAGCCTAGACTAAATAAACGATATTGAATTTTGAATTTAGAGGGCATCTCTGAGACTCGGACCTCGGCTTAGCTTAGTTAGGCGTTGTCTCGTGGAGGGGGGGGGGGGGGGTACGTACCTGTACCTGGTATAGCGTGTCGTGTGTAGACCGGGCCTTCGCACTCTTATCCAACGGGTGCGGTGTCTGCCTAATGCTAAACTAGTGTGCAAGAATGCTAGCTGTGTATATGTGTATATAAACAAGGTAGAATTAAGTAACTTATTACCCGTAGATATAAAAATAATTAAAGAGGTTTGATTGACGTTTGAATTGTGTTAATGGGGTAAGAATAGTTGCTAAATAAACTCAATTTTATTGCAAGATTGCAAATTCAAACTGGGTAATTTTAAATCATTTAAAAATACAATCACCATTGGTTCAATGAATCAACATTACCCTAAGATCCGAAAATGTACGTATTTATTATACTTTTATTGAAGCATACTTAGAACTGCTAGATGTTGAAATCTTAAGAAAATATTTACTGTGGAACTTTTTCTAGTAAAAATTTCCTATAGATGTTCTTATTTGTCTGTTATGCATTACTTAGAATTATTGAGGGTCATTTTAATATCGTCTCTTAATATTTACCCAAAGCCATGATAAACAGCTTTGTGTATTCTACTAAGAGCTGAGAGCCCCGAAAACTAAGACATTTTAGTAAAGCTTAAATAATTCCGTCATAAAATTTATGATATGTACTTCAGGAGCTCAGTTGCGCAAATCAGTGTGTTCGGTAAACGATCGTGAAAGTTAAGCAACCTTTGCAATGGTCGGTCAAGCTTGGGTGACCAAATACTTAATATCTCTCTTTATATATTGTTAGTGGCCGCCCTCGCTTCGCTTCGGTGAAGACTATAGTTTTTCTTCTCAGGCTTGCTTTATTATTGCACTTTTTTTTGGTTGAATGCACTAAACTCAGGAAATACAGGTCTGATTTGATAAAATCTTTTTGTATTGGATAGTGCATTTTTCGTGGAAGGCTATAGGCTGATATAACATTACGCTACAACCATTACGAGCGGAGCATCGATGAAAAATGATAAAAAAGCGGGTAAAAATGTTCCATTTGTGAGCGTCCGTTCCGTGGGCATGGTAAACGGTCAAACTAATGGCGAAATCATGTAATAGAGAATTATTCCAGTTTAAAAGTTATATAAAAAAGTCCGCGACAGCATATACCCATCTTTTAAGTTTGACTTACTATGATCTTTTTCCTCAAATGAACCTCTAGTTGTATAAAAGTTAGACATATGCTATCACGGACTTTTTTGTAGACATTGATGTCTTCTACAAAACCTCGGTATTTAACTTTGCTCTATTATCAGTGACTTCCGCAGCGTACGTGATAAAAGGTTATTTTTTGGTATTTTTTTCACATGTTCGGTAACATTATTAAAGTTTTCATACGGAACCCTAACTTTTTTGGAAATACTTTATGCCTATGTTCATTAGGGATAATGTAGAATTCTAAATATGAAAGAATTTTCAAATCTTCCTCTTTATAATGATGTTGTGGTGTTTATGAAAGATGTTGCAGTGTAGTATAGGAGGTTATAATGCGATTCAAATGAGAATAGGAAAGCCAATGACCTCTATCTGTCAAATGTCGCTTAAAAAGTACGGTTTGTAAAAAAATCTTGGAACCCTCTTTTAGCATTCCGCTAATTCAAGAATAAAAACCAAACATTTGTAAACAAACAATAACAAATATTGATAATTAATATCGGTTGATATTTTTTTTCACTTATTGTGCTTTGGCCATGAATGGTTGATAACCTAAATCGTCAACCAAATGTCACTTTAAGTTGCATTCAGAAACTCGATTTCAATCTTTCGTTAACATAAAGGATGCATGTTCGTATGTGACCTAGTAATAGTGTATGATTATTCATAACTACTCCGGCGGTAATGCAGAGATGAGCGGAATAAAAGAGCTAGATTCTCATTATGTTTTTTCTCACAGTCTTAATAAATAAATATTATTATATATCGGTGATTTTTTCTCTCAATCTAAATGTTATTAAAAAAATCTGGTACTTTTTCTTACTTAATCTTAGTAAATAAGTTTTATTAAATAAAAATTTTTTTTGCTTACTCTATCTATTTGGTTTGAATTGACAGCTATGACATCACAATATGGCGCCCAGCCCAGTGGCGGGTCGTTACGTTCCCTAAAATATGATTGAGCGAAGCGATGGCCGGTTCATGGGTCATGGTCCTGAGCGGGTGCCGCCAGCGGAGATGAGTCTGCTCTATACTGCGATACTCTTGAGATGCTATCTATTATACCTAATATGAACACTGTTTGTATTTATACCGTATGACACAGCAATCAAAATGTGAATGGACGTTGTGTTTGTATCGATATTTTTTTTTTGTAAATTATGCTAGGTACTTCTGCTAAATGCTGATGAGTTTTTTACGCCCATTCTAAAAAATGTCCTGAATAGAAAAGGTAGAAAAAAATGTACGTAACAAAAGAGGTTTCAATAAGTCAATTTGAATAAAGTATAATTTCATTTCATTTCTCGAGCTCCTCCGTGCTTCGGATGGCACGTTAAAGCATTGTTCCCGACTGGATCTGCAATCGTAAGCACCCACCGATCCACAATTGGATGTCTGCGCGGTGGGTGGTGGGCCAATCTATCAATTCCAACCATATGGAAGGCTGGTGCCCCAGCAGTGGAGACATTAATAAGCTGATGATGGTTATGTATAGCTAAAATCGTGACTGATGAAGGTGTATAATAATAATCTAAGAACTTACGTTATAATAGCAGAACTAAATTAACATTTCAATTTTAAAGAAAATATAACTTGAAAAAATTCCACGCGGACCAGGCAGCAGACGGGAGTAGAACCCGAAACTATTTCTAGTTATATTTTCTTTAAATTTAAACATCAAACAGTTACATGCTTAAAAAATAAAAATTATAACTATTTCACTTTTACTTTGAATAAAAGCCCTTCGAATAAAATAAATAAGAACTACTCTTGAATACCATACATAACGAACACGATTGAGCTTACCCACTCCTCGGCCGCAGAAATTGTAGGTAATAATTTATTCAATGGCGCGACCTTAAACTACAAAAGAACTAAAAACTTTTTAACAAAAAAAAAAAAGCCGAAATATAAAAAGAATAAAACATTTTTATTTTTAGTTAAATTAATATTTGGAGTCGGTGCCAATGCCAGGTTAACCCAAGTTGAAATGGGAACTCAGAACTATCAGACTTGCATGGCACCGACTCCAAATATTTAAAAAAGGTTTATTAATTATTACATTTCGGCGGTTTAATTTTTTGTTAAAAAGATTTATTTTACAATTTTTTGAGTTTATAATTTTTGTAATATACAATTCGGCATCAAAATTTGTGAGTAAACAATCAATCAATCATCCCCTGTTATCATACTCTTAGGGTTGGCTTTTTTTTCAAATTCATATGGGACCAACTTTTGGGTATACCCATTCCAATAAAGAAAGAATTTTCAAAATCAGACTACTCAGTAAAAAGTTATGTGTGGTCATACATTACAATCAGTGAGTGAACAATGAATCATCCCCTGTTTTTATACACTTAGGGTTGGATTTTTTTCCTAATTTATATGGAGCCAACTACGTGGTATAACCCTTTAGAATAAAGAAAAACAATTATCAAAATCGGACTATTCTGTAAAAAGTTATGCGTGATCATACATAAAAGAGAACAAATATACGTGTCGACTTGAGAAAATTCTCGGTTTTTTCCGTCGGTAAAAAAGTGAACTTCATCATCATGCCTATTAATGTCCCCACTGCTGGGGCACAGGCCTTCCCTATGGATGGAATAGGGAGATTGGGCAATGACCGACTACGCGGGCCCAGTGCCGATTGGTGGGGGCTAAAGACTGCACATGTAGCCGAGACCAACGGCTTAACGTGCCTTCCGAAGCACGGAGGAACTCGAGATAGAAATTTTTTGGTCACCCATCTAATGACCGACCACTGCGAAAGTTGCTTAACTTCAACGATCGCAGCCGAACGCGCTAACCACCTGCGCCATCGTACTTCTCATCAAAGTGAACTCATCAAGTAAAAAAAATGAATGGGTCTTCGGTTATCACATTAAATAATAATAGAAACATAATTGTAATATAATTCACGTTGCAAGGATAATTATCCAAGTGACCGCTATCGTACGATGATAGAAGACCTGTGTTGCATAATTAATGGCAAAAATGAGACAGTAGTTGTACTTTTAGAATAGTTAAGAACAGACACATTGAAACATTAAACATTCTGTATAAAAGTAAGTCAAAACATGGCGATTTTATTATAGTTTGTGGAGGTATGAATGTTATAATATTTTACCTCTATTTGCAGGTCGTTTGGCCACCGAGAAAGGGTGGGTAAAAAGAGATTGACAAAAAAGGTTACATAAATTTGATGCGAGTAGAGACGTGTGGGACGGAGATCGTTTGTCAACTAAATTCTAAAACACCTTAAATAGATACGGTAAGAGCTCTTACACAAAAAACACGATACCACGTCGCGCCGTGCTGCGATACGGTATCATTTCACGATGCCACGTCGTATCGTAGAAATCTACGATGCGCAATGTAGGAATTCACGTCACGACATTGCAACGTCCTGTACCACAAGCACGAACCATTATCGAATTCGAATAGTGTGAGTGAGAAATGTCCATGTCAAATGTGTACTGAATTTCAGTTTTCGTTACGTACGTTATGGCGCTGCTGTTCAAGTTTCCATACAAAATTTGACAATGACATTTCGGTTTGCAAACTATTCGAATTCGATATTGGTTCGTCCTAATATCGAATTCGAATAGTTTAACGAGTTTTAGATGATGATGTGTCAGATGCTGGAGTAAAAAAGAAAAAATATCTTCTCCATTTCATGTATGGCACCCCCAATGTAAAACTATTGAATTTTTAACACATACACGGCTTTGGGCAAGCATTCTACATAAAATACCAAAATTTCAATTCTGTAACTCATTCTGTTTACGATCTAGAGACTCGTGACATACCGACTGACACACAGACGACAAAGTGGCTGCAATAGGGATCAGTCACTGCCTTTTGGCCATGTAACCCTAAAAAATCTTATCATTAAGATGTCAAGAAATGTTTGCACCGATGAAGCAAGAATCACTATTGAAAATAATATACCAATAAACTTTACTTACATAAATGAGTAGGCAAGCACGAAGAATGTCATTAAGCTCAATCCGGGCACGAAACTCTTTGGCCTTGCCCTCGGCAACATCACCATGTCCAACATGGTGACCACCAATGTCACGGTATGCATGCTGTGCTGTGACCAGAATGGTACAAAGCTGTCAATGGACGCTGGGGCAAGTAGCTCCCTGTCTTTCATCCATAAACGCCAGAAAAGTATGTCGGCAAACTGTAAAAAATAGTAATTATTGTTATATAATTATACTGTCCCTATCGCACGGTATTTGCCCATGCGTGACAGCAATAGTTTTTTGTCAAATAGGTACCTATTTCTCAAATGTCTCTCAGATCGCGTCCACTCTTAAGTTATCTTTATTCTTATATTCATGCCTAAACAGTAGGACACGGCATTCATAAACTTTGTTAAATCAGTTTTTTTATTTTATACTCATATTTTTTATATCATTTTCATTTGTAATGGTAAATGACTTCATGAGTTGTCTCATAATGAATATCATTTTTCAATTTAAGGACTCTGTATATAATACAGGGAGGAAAAACAGCCCTTGCTGAGTTTCTTGTCGGTTTTTCTCAGTACAAGGTCTCCCACCGTAGATTTGGGAACCGATGGCGTAGCTTTTCGACATTTGCAAGTGTTTGTAACGGCTAAGACTTAATGAACGATATTGAAATTTGTTGTTTTTTAATCGACAGAAGTTCAAAAGCGTTATGCAAAACAATAATTCTTCCGTTCTAAACGGAGCCTGAAAGGATCCGAACGCCGGGAAATGAATAAAAATATAGGGATAGCGGGTTCCAGGATAAGTGTAATCGGCTACATGTTCCCTGGAACGCCATATAAATACTGGTAGCTATGCGTACCCTCTACGAGTTTCTATGAGTATGAATAGCGCGTTCCAGAAATTGTATAAAAATATCTGGATAGCGCGTTCCAGGGTACGCGTAATCGGCTACGCATTCCCTGGCACGCCATGTAAATATTTGTAGCTTCGCGTATGCTCCACGAGTTGCTATGAGTATAGATAGCGCGTTCCAGAGCATGCATAGTCGGCTACGTATTCCCTGAAACACCATGTAGATATATGTAGCTTCGCGTATGCTCCACGAGTTGCTATGAGTATAGATAGCGCGTTCGAGGGCACGAATAATCAGGGAACGCCATGTAGATGTATGTAGCTTCGCAGACGCTCCATGAGTTGCTATGAGTATAGATAGCGCGTTCCAGGGCACGAATAATCGGCTACGCATTCCCTGGAATGCCATGTAAATATTTATAACTTCGCGTACTCCACGAGTTGCTATGAGACTACGCGTGCACTGGAACGCACTATCCGTGCGCAGCTTTAAAAAGCACAGTTAAACTCCGTTATAAAGGTTTTTTTTTTTCAATGAGTTGTGTGCAGAAAAATATAAGAAATACTAAGTATTAGTATAATTTACCAAAAGTATCTTTTTTCAGTAGAAATTATTTGCGGGTAAATTCTAGAACAAAAAAAATACTTACAGTGGTTGTAGGCAATAGGATGCTGGTAAAAATTAGAAACCGGAAGTTGTTTAACCATTTGACTTGTGGTTCCCCATTTTCTCCAAGCAGCTCCTTCACTTCACAATAGATGCAAACTGGCAAATATATAAAAGATAACAGCTGAAAAAGAAAAAGAACAATTGATTAATAGGGGGTATCCAGTGCTATTCTGTAAGATCACACTCACTTTTTACCTCGGAATCCGTGGTGTGATTTAATATTAAAACACGAATTTCAAATAAAGCTCAAAGCACATCTGCGAATTCCACCGTGAAAAATGAGTTTGTTCTTACAGAAGTGCTGCTGGGTAGGCTATGGCGCGAGTGATAATTCTGGTATCGCAAGCGTCTATAGGCTATGGTGACCCGTTACCATGGGGTCATACGCTTGTAAGCCACACTTTGAGATAAAAATATAATATATTTGGTTTTAAAAACCAATTATTGTGATGGCATTTCAACATTTATTGGTTTATTAATACTAGAGAGTGCGCCCGCGCCTGTGATTTCGTTGGCGTGGAAAAAATAGTTTGCCATACCGATGTTGGAGGTCGAGCGCTAATAACTGCGACACAGTCTCTGATAAATGTAGTGATTAACGTTTTACATTATTCTGTACAAACTATTTCATTTCAAATAAAGAATTTTATTATTATTATTATCACCCCTCGTTTCACTGTTTTGGATGATTTTTAGGATAAAACTATTGTAGTTATCCTATGTCCTTCCCCGGGACTCAAACTTCCCCCTCGGTTTCAGCTTTAAGAGGTAACAGACAGACACACTTTATAATATTATTATGAATTTTCTACAGGAATATCTAGCATGATTTTAATTAACAATAATCTTAATTGTGCTCTAAGAAATTTTTCATTTTGACTCAAAAATCTGAACCGCCGGAAAGAAAAAATAATAACATTTTTTTAGGGTTCCGCAGTCCTGACAAGGAACCCTTATAGTTTCGTCATGTCCGTCTGTCCGTCCCCGGTTTTGCTTAGAGACTATTAGCGCTAGAGAGCTGTAATTTTGTGGAGATATGTATATCGATCACGTCGACAAAATGGTAGAATAAAATGTTGAAAAGCCTTTTTTAGGGTAGTTCCCCTACATGTAACCTGGGTATATTTTTTTTATCATCTACCCCATCGAGTAGAATAACGTTAAATGGGTCCTTTAAAATTAATTAGGGTATCTACAACAATTTTTCGATTTGGGGATCCGTTTGTGAAATATTGAACTTTGCTAATTTTTGTTCGAGTAGGGCGTCGTCGTCCCCCCACCCCCAAAAAGCTAAACTATAGGCTTTTATAATAAAATTCATGATAATAGTCATGAACTCTTAGGAAAGTATAATGGTTAAGATAGATTTGTTAGTTTAAGAGTAAAAAACGTTCAACTTTGGTTAAAGAAAATTTCTTACCTATTGAAAATTCCTTAGAAGAAAACATTTAATAGTGACATAGATGTAGTAAAACCTTGCATTGCAACAAAATCTAAAATTTTTAAAACCACAATAAAATGGCATTAATATGACTAAAAATTTGAAGAATATATTTTTTGCTTCTCGGTGTTTTAATTTTTTGTTAAAAAGTTTTTATTTTATAATTTTTTGTGGCTTTTTTTTGGTATGAACAACTCAGCATCAAATTCTGTGAGTGAAAAATTACCCATATTTTCCCACTTTTATGGTAGGATTTTTGTTTCTAAATCTATTTGACACTGAGACCAACTACGAGGTATACCCTATCCAATAAAAAAATCATCAAAATCGAACTACTCTGTAAAAAGGGATGTGTGGTCATAAATTACAATCTATGAGTGAATAATCAATCATCCCCTCAAGGCAAATCTAATATCAAATTCCGCAATACCCCCATTCCTCTGAAAGAAAAAGAAACTCTAGTAACCTGAAAGTTGTAAAGGATTATGTTCACTGTATAGGAACAGACAGTCTAGACCGACTTTCGGAAAGAGCGACATTGACATTATGTAAACATATTCTACATAGTTCAAAATATTGCAGCGTCTTAAGGCAAAAGTCCCTAACCTATCTTTGTTGTCTTACTTAAACATACATGGTACTAAAAGTTTCCAGAACTAACCACTTACATAATTAATCTTTGAAGACTAATTAAGACCGCTGTTGGGTCTCACTTAGATAGTTAAAAGGATCTGGGGTACTAAAAAGCGATTCGAGCACTGGAGTAAGGGGCTTCTAATCGCATTGCCTGAAGCTGTTAGCGAACTCGCTGGCTTGCTTGTAAACTCGCCCCGTGTCATCTAGGCTTCAGGCAATGCGATTGGAAGCCCCTTACTCCAGTGCTCGAATAGCTCTTCAGTATCCCTGAGGGCCAATCGCCTAACACGCTTGCTATGGCTATCGTTTACGATTTCATTATTTTATTTCTGACTGTTGAAGGTTTTGAAATGCCTCGCGCTCGTTTTTGTTTTTTGCATTAGTAATAACAATATTAAACAAAATGAGCGTAAGGTACTTGAAAACCTCCGGGGTCAGAAATATCAACATGAAATCGTAAGCGATAGCGATAGCCATAACAATCCCATTAGGCAATTGACCCCCAGATCCTTTAAACTATCGAAAATCGGAGTTGCTAATAACTATAGTAGCGGCACACTATAATGGCCGTCTTGACGTTTGTGCGCCCATGAAGTTTCATATTTAAAATTAGTTCTAAATTTGAAAGAAATATTTTTGTTTTTCATTCTCTTCACGTCTCTACGTGCAGTTTGTCATAATAATCTTTCGAATCAGTAGTTTTTTTTTAAATTGTATAAATTTTGGTCTTACTATAATGTGGTTCCGGAAACTTTTCATTTCAAGTTTAACATAATTAACGGTATAATTACATAAAATTAAATTTTAAATGACATACCTACAGTGAGCTTTTGGCATGGTTTTTAGTTTATGAATTTAGTAATTTTAACACTGTTTTAAGGTTTTGATTGAAAATTATTTGAGATTCAAATTTAACGGGATCGAAACCTCCGGACTGTAAAAAAAGTAGTTTTACATGATGCGTAATTATGTCCTTATTTACTACATTACTCAGGGTATTTTTTCGGAATTAAAAATGTAAAAAATAGTCAATTCAATTCAATTCAATTCAATTTATTTGCATTAAATAGGGTCCAATCAATGGTGTTACATTTCATCTAAGTTGTCTCTTAACATGCAAATTTTTCTATTCAATTACCTATATAAATGTCAAGTCATAAGTCAATACAATCACTGCTTGTAGGATCACTGAGAGTAAGATAACATTATAATTATGTTCCTTTTATTCAATCTTTTTAATCAGCTAATTGCAATATTAGTTAAAATTTCAAAATTGATAATACGTAGTTAAGGCGCATTGGATTATGTTACATTATTTTCGATAACAAGCTGACTTTTCCCGTCACTATTGTATTGTGTCAAAACGGCCATCATAGCGTGCCGCGACTATACATGAGCACTTGCACGTTTGTCATTGAGGAGTTCCATTGTTTATTTCTAAAAGTACTAGTGGCGTTCGTAAGCTGAAAAACCCATCGTCGAAATAGACCAAAATAGAAGCAAAAACTGACATGGATTATTTAGCGGCAAACATCTTGAATAAAGTCGTAGACAGGCAAACTTGCTCAGAAGACATTTATAATTATATGTAAATTTGCTACTGCACAGGTACGTTGTCTTTGGTTTAAGCTTAAGATGTTCATGATCATTAATAACAACTTATTATAGTCTTACGTAAGAGTTTACACAACAGGAAATAACCTACAGTTGAGTAATATTCAATAAGGGCGTACGTAGTATGTAGATTCCGTCAACACACTACTTGCTTTATCAAGGTACAGATTCTACTTACATTCTAAATGTAAAAGTTTGTTTGTTTCTTTGTTTGTGTGTTTGCATGTTCGTTATTCAATGAATGGTTTGATGTGGTGTTCGAACGGATTTGGATGAAAACTTGGTAAGAATATAGTTGGTAATAGACACAGGATCCTTTTTAATTTGGAAAATGTTAGGTTCCTCTGGGATTCTCAAAAAACTAAGGCTCACGCAGATAAAGACGCGGTCGGCCAGTTACATTAGTATATAATTTGTGGGTATTTCCATCTCTCTGTCTCTCATCACGGTGATCAAAAGCCCTGGAAGTCTACTCTATTTAAACGAAAAACGAAATTTCGATCGAAATTTCACACGTTCCTTACTATGTTTCTTTTTCATTTCGAAAATTCGTTCGTCCGAAAATAGTTTGGCAATAAAATTCTCCAAGCCTACTCTAGTTCACGAAACTGTCGAACGAAAAGTTGATTTTTTCAGAAAAATGTTCTAAATTTTAACTTCAAATTGACGAAATGAAAGTGTAATTTTCATTTTCATTTTGGGCTTTTTGTTTAAATTAATCCTAAAATGACTGCTAGAGTATTTCTAATCGAGGCTGCTTAGCGTGAGGAAAATTTTATAGTAAGTAAAAATTAACAAGTAAACCGTTTTTTTTTTAATTATTGTGTTTTCACTACTTAAAGGAGTCTGTAGTGTGTGACCATGCATTAGGGGGACCAAACTATTGCATTAAATTTGATAAATCACAAATCCTTGCAATTGAACAACGATTCATTCCTAGGATACGCGAAGCTATTGAGATTAAGAAATATCCAAATTTCAATAGGGAAGATGGTTGATATATACTACCAGCTTGGGAACCCATTAAGCAACAGATGAAATCCTAACCCCGATCACACGCTGCAAGACCAACAGATAATATTAGTGTTTTTTGTTTGCATGATTTAACATAAGATGTTAGATAGAAAGCCTCTATGAGTTTGTTCGCCAGTTCTTCTCAGAAAGGTCTCCCAATTTTGGAACCGTTGGTAGTTTTGTTGTGTTGGTAGTAAAGAATTAAATAAAGTACTTTATTAATTAAATTAGCTAATATGTTCATACATAGATACTAATGTTTTAAAAATCTCCCTCCCAATAAAAGTCTTTCGAAGGTAGCTCGACAAAGTAAATAAAAAAGTCATTATTCTGACGACGCATTCCTGCAAAGGATGCGAAACGTTAATAAATAAATAAAATAAGTGCATTTAACCCGTAGAAACTTGTTTTATTAA